TATATACCCATTATGGTAACTTAATTTACGTTCCTTAACAGCAACCCAGGTTAAGGAGCTTGAGTTAAGTAACCACAATATGGATATGGGTACTTAGGGTTCAGGATTCAGGTTTTAGGGTTTAGGGTTACGTAACATAATGGGATGTAGTAATTCATAGGGCTGCCCCAATGTAGTAACTGTTCCTTAACAGCAACCCAGAGTCATGATGCATAATTGTATAGCTGGGGTTTAGGTCTAGGATTGTTTGGTTGGGCCCCCGAAGTATCCAAAGCATGGGGCGTGCAAAATGATCCCATTAATACAAAGGGGCAACCAGGGGGCTCCCTTTTATTGGACACTTTGAGGGGTGAAGGGATGCAGATTTGTCAGTTATGCTCAACTCACAGGGCCCATCGGGACCCTAGAGCGACTGCTGTCGCAGGCCCAAGGAAGTTGCTGACACAATGGTAACAAGTGGGACAGGTCCTGTTCCAGAAGGGTGTAAGCACGCCTGAACTACACCCTTTCTGGGTCTCCTCTCGTTTGCGTCTGTCCCGTACTAATAGTCATTGTAGTCAGGTTTCACCTTGCAAGGGTTTCGCAGTCCCAGCACTAGCAGGAAGAGGGATATCCATGCATTATTCTTATTGGAGCATGGGGAACCTCCATGAAAGCAAACGCATAGGTTAGTCCTCTGATTTTTTGCGGGTTCTGCTGCTGCCGACAGGCTTTGGCTGCGAGCTGCTGTAGGTTTGGGGGTCTGCGTTGGATACTGCCCCCATGCTACGTATATCCCAAAGTAACAATGTTTTACTGCAAATGAAGGTCCTACACAGGCCTAGAGCCTAAACCTACTTTACCCTCAAAGGGTTGGGGAAGTAGCCAACTTAGGGTTTGGGGTGTGCGGTTTAGGAACCAAGCCGATGATTCGAGCCTCATGGTGGGTATTACGCCCTTGAGCTCCGAAACCTACGCTCGGTTGCACTTCGGGAACTTCACTTGGGCGACCATGGAATGGATATGCACTTAAGATAAGTTGGCTTCCCTAAACCCTGAACCCTAAACCCTAAACCCTATAGTATTCATGAACTTAATGTGAGTGAGTTGTTTAACATCATCCCTGTACACCTTTAAGCCTAAGCCCTAAACACTAAGCCCTAAAGCCCTCACCCCAAAACCTTAAACCCGAGCCGACCGGGAGTTACCGAGGCAAAAATCGAGGAAGCAGTGAGGTGCTGAGCTGCGGTCTTCTTCAGATTCTCTAGGTTTAGGGTTTGGGGTTCAGGGTTCAGGGTTTGGGGTTCAGGGTGTAGGGTTTAGGATTTGGGGTTCAGGGTTTGGGTTAGGGTTCAGGATTCGGGGTTTAGGGTTCAGATAGGGCACCCTTTTAGAAAGTGGTGGGTTTCGGAGTAATGCTGTTCTGCAGGTCCTGCTTACGATGTCTGTCCTATTTTGTAATGTTGGTGTCGCCGCAGGATCTACCCACTTCTGAGCTCCAGGACTGGGTCTACATAAGACTAAGGGTTTAGTGTTTAGCCAGCTCTGCATATTGTTTCCATTATCGCTTTATAATCCTTGCATTTGAAGGCAGGTGTGAGCTACCAGGCAGCTAGGGTAGATTGTTGGGGGCCCTATAAAAATTCCTTGTTTCTTGCCTTCCAGGAGTACATAGGGATTGAAAGTAGCAAAAATTAAACATTCTTGTCAAGCCTACTCTAGGCTAGAGGGCGACCGTGCGTTTAAGATTGTTGGGAAAGAGGTTGAGAGTCTGAACCAGGATTGACGTGGCTGTCTTGTTCGCTTCTACTGAGCAACTACTGTTACTTACTGGTTCCATATATATATATATATACATATGTATATAGATATATATATATGTATGTATGTATAAATATGTGTGTATAATATCTATATATGTATATATGTATAGATATAGGGATTATATGCGGATTATCTTCCCTTATTCCCTACGAATAGCGAGTAAGCTTATCTTTCTCACAGTCTTTGAGAGTCGGTCAGACTGAAGGATTGCTGCGCTTGGTCTGAGCAGCTTGCCACACAAAACTCCGGTCAGGAGTTTAGACTACAACTCATATATCCCTATAAACCCCAGTTTCCATTTCATGTTCCATATTCTTTTCCATTTGATTCTCCAGTATAGGGGTTATTTAGGCGGATACTAGGAGTTTAGACCCTAAACCGTATAGTAGGAGTTAAGACTATAGCTCATATTCTTATCATTCCCCCAGGCTAAAACTTGAACATCTTAGACTTGGACGTCATTTCATGAATGTGGGTTTAGGGTTTAGAGTTTAGGGTTCAGGGTATAGGGTTTGTAGTAGCCCGAAACCTCTGCAAAACTTCTTGGCCGAGGCTCAGCATTTCGTCTACCTGCACAGGACCTGCAGCATAGACATCACGAGTGGTGGCAGCTTGTGAACTGCTTAAAGGTCATCAGTTAGCAACAATACAAAATACAACAGCTTTGGAGAGTGCTCTTATCTTTGCGCTTTAGCAGATCTTGCCACATTGGCCGCAGCTCAGGCGAGGCAGGCAAAAATTGCGACATGTGCGGTTAGGTCAAGCAACTGTTCGACCTCCCCCTCCAGCCATTGAAGCTCAGCAACGGCTTGTAAGTCTGCGTCCAGGACCTGCAAAATCCTGAAGCCTCTTGCCCGCAGTCATCATGCTCCCCGCGCTTGTTTTGTTTGCGGCCTCATCTTTCACTGCTTGCACTCGCAGGTTTGCTCGCAGTACGGCAGACTTTGTACAAGTCTTCAGCCATTAGGCATCGAACTTTGATTCTGTTGTGCCCCGCGGGGCTCAGTGTCATGACCTAAGTTGTTCAAAGGACCTACCTGGTGCAGACACTCCTCAGCTTTAGGTCTAAAACCTAAACTAGATCAAGCTGCAGGGCACCTTATTGTTGAGAAGGTCATTCAGGCCCCCAACAGCCGCTAACGCGCCCAAGAATCTCAAGCAATCCCGACTAAGGCCTTGATTTGTGGGGCCTGCAAGGTAGGAAGTCGCCTACTAATCGCCTGCCCCTAATATTAAAGCCCCACTCCTTCTTTTAAAACCCCCCCCGGAAGGTGAAACATGCCCATTGCGGTCTACTGTAAAATATAGGTTTACATCGAATATTAGGAGTGGGTGTTTCAATAGTAGGGGGGGAGAGTAATTTCATCATTATCAGATTAGCCACTCATGACTGAAGCTGCTTTCTATGTTGACTCCCCA